ATGCGAGGGGTCTGTACAGATAGATAGATAGATAGATAGATAGATAGATAGATAGATAGATAGAGATACCCTGTTTTCCCCAAAATAAGACATCCCCTGATAATAAGCCCAATTGGGCTTTTGAGTGCATGGCAATAAAGCCAAGTGCTTATTTCAGGATTCAAAAAAATATAAGACAGGGTCTTATTTTCAGGGAAACACGGTATTTTCACAGCCCTCTTTTTGACTCATGCAGTATACAGGTCCTCAATGGAAGGCAGGTTGGTAGTAATTGTTTTTTTCTGCAGTTCTAATTATCCTCTGAAGTCTGTGTCTGTCTTGTTGGGTTGCAGAGCCAAACCAGACAGTTATAGAGGTGCAGATGACAGACTCAATCATTCCTCTGTAGAACTGGATCAGCAGCTCCTTGGGCAGTTTGAGCTTCCTGAGTTGGCACAGAAAAAACATTCTTTGTTGTGCTTTTTTTTCAGATAACAGAGTCACGAATATCTAAGAGAAAAAAATGCAATGATCAGAATAACCAGGAACTTTGCTTAAACCTTATTCATTTATTTATTAAATTTATATGCCATCAATCTCACTGTCAAGTGACTCTGGGTGACTTACAAATATTTTAAAAAATGAATGTTATAAAATAATAAATCATCATGAAAGCTAGCTGGCTGATTTTGGGCCAGTCTCAGACCAACATACCTCATAGAATTGTTGTGGGGGGAAAAGAGCAGGAGAAAGGAGTATTACGTACTGTATATTTGCCAACTTGAGTTGTTTATAAAGTAATAAAGGTGGGATAAAAATCTAATCAATAAAAGCAAGCTCAGAGAGCACCAAGGACCCCTAAACCTTATTGAATTAATCCAGAGATTAATCCAGACATGCTGGCTGGGGAATTCTTGGAATTGAAGTCCACACATCTTTAAAGTAGCCAAGGTTGAGAAAAACACTGACCTAGTAAATCCATCTCCAAAATAAATCTCCAACAGACCATTTTGCCAAACATTCTGATGTAGCTTTTCTTTTAATTTGGAACCGCAAATAGCTTGTGCAGAGGTTTTTCTCACCCTCTTTGCTAACAATGACACCTGATTAGAGAACAATCAAAAATGTGATTTGCAGGTTGGCACCTTCATAACCAATATGTTCCAATACCTCAGGGGCTGCCACAAAGAAGAGGGAGTCAAGCTATTTTCCAAAGCACCTGAGGGCAGGACAAGAAGCAATGGGTGGAAACTAATCAAGGAGAGAAGCAATTTAGAACTAAGGAGAAATTTCCTGACAGAGAGAACAATTAACCAGTGGAAAAACTTGCCTCCAGAAGCTGTGAATGCTCCAACACTAGACGTTTTTAAGAAGATGTTGGATAACCATTTGTCTGAAGTGGGGTAGAGTTTCCTGCCTAAGCAGGGGGTTGGACTAGAAGACCTCCAAGGTCCCTTCCAACTCTGTTATTCTATTCTATTCTAACCTTGCTCTCCCTGTTTTTTTTTTTCTTTTCTTTTTTTTTAAATGATCCATTGTCCACAGGCGGCCACAACCTCCAGGGAGAGGGAAGATGGAAAGATCGGTGGGCCGGGAGACAACAATTGCCCGTGACATCAACTGTTTCTTCTACCTCCCATGCTGTGTAATGGGGACAGCATGTCCCTTACAGGGAGACTGAGTCACCAGCACTGCCAGGAATCCAAAGCTATGGCTCCGTCTTTTTCCTTTCAAACTTTTGTGGCATGAATCACCCAGCCCACGGACCGGGTGGCTCACTCCATCCGCCAGCTTAGCCGGGTTTAGAAAACAGAAGAAAGTTGTAAAGAGAAAGTTGCGTCTAAATGTTGTCCTGCTTTGAGCCAGGATTTGGGGAGGGCTCCAGGTCTGATAAATGGCTTCTCTCGGCATTCCCACGTTTTTACAACTTTTCCCCCTTTACCCAGATCTGGATTAAAATCAACATACAAATAGTCCTCAACTATTCGTTCAATGACCGTTCAAAGGTACAATGGCACTGAACGGTGACTTATGACTGTTTTTCACACTTATGACCGTTGTAGCATCTCCACGGTTAGGTGATTCACATTCAGATGCTTGACAACTGACTCACACTTTAAAGTGACATCACTTTATGACCGTTGCAGTGTCTCAGAGTCCTATGACCCCCTTTTGAGACAAGCAAAGTCAATGGGAAAATCAAAATTCATTTAACAACCCATGTTACTAATTTAACAATTGCAACAATTCATTTAACAAATCTGGCAAAAAAAGTCGTAAAAGGGGGCAAAACTCACTTAACAAATTTCTCACTTAACAACATAAGTTTGGGCTCAGTTGTGGTCATAAATTGAGGACTACAAGTAAAGGGCCAGAGAATTTGGTGAGAATACTTGTGTAAAGAGGGGAGTCCAGGTTTCATTGGCATCATCTACAGTTCAGATCAGATGAGAGCCTTGGGTGAGGTTTTTTTATTATTATTTTTTTATTAGATTTTTAGCATGCCTTTATTACTTTATAAGTAACTCAAGGCAGTGAATGTACATAATACTCTCCTATTTTCCCCATAACAACCCTGTGAGGAGAGCTAGGCTGAGAGAGAATGATTGGCCCAAAGTCATCCAGCAGCAGGGGTGAAATCCAAAATTTTTCCCTACCGGTTCTGTGGGCGTGGCTTGGTGGGCCTGGCAGGTGAAGGATATTGCAAAATCTCCATTCCCACCCCACTCCAGGGGAAGGATACTACAAAATCCCCATTTCCTCCCCTCCTGGGGGAAGGATATTGCAAAATCTCCATTCCCACCACACTCCAGGGGAAGGATATTGCAAAATCCCCATTCCCTCCCCATTCCTGGGGGAAGGATATTGCAAAATCTCCATTCCCATCCCACTCTGGGGCCATCCAGAGGTGGTATTTGCCGGTTCTCCGAACTACTCAAAATTTCCGCTACCGGTTCTCCAGAACCTGTTAGAACCTGCTGGATTTCATCCCTGTCCAGCAGGCTTTCATGCTTAAAACAAGACTAGAACTCATGGTCACCTGGTGATTGGCCAGAAGTTACCTAGCTGGTTTTCATGTCTAAGGGGCGACTAGAATTCACTGTCTCCTGGTGATTGGCCCAAAGTCACCCAGCCAGCTTTCATGGCTAAGGCGGAACTAGAACTCACAGTCTCCAGACCTAGGAGATGCTTGCTGGAACTTGAGGAGTGTTGATCTTAGTTACGTCTTCTATCACTCCAAATGGCAGATGAGTCCAACCCATCTGGCTGGTTAATGATTTGACATCGTGTGCAAACTCAGGAAATGAGATAACAACAACAGACCTCATTAGATTGTGGGAACACAGCCTGAGTGACTCAGTAGAGCCTGAGGAACAGTCCAAGGAAGATCTAAAAAAACCAAACAGCCTCAAACCTCAAGGAGTTTCCTTGTAGGAACCCAAAGATTTGCTCTCAGTTAGGGAGATCCAAGCTTTTTAAGCTGGTTCATTCATTTGGAATTGAGAGCACGCTCACAAAATGGTTGCCATAATGGGACTAATCATTTCACGCACTCGGAATTGCAACCTTTTATAATACCTTTGAATATATCTGAGTCTGGAAGCTTTCTTAAAGACACAGGTGACCGACCCAATGTTCCGACCATTTTTGCTGCTGTCATTAAGCAAACACAGATTGTAAAGCAGCTTCAGCCATTGTTAAGCAAAAACCGGGGTTGTTAAGCAAAGCAATGGTTTCCTATGGGTATGGTTTTGCCAAAATCCAGAAATGCCAGGGTTTGGTAAAACCATTGTAAAATGCAGTCATGGGACCATGGGACACTGCAAACAGGTGTAAATGCAGCGACGTTGTGGAGTGCCTGAAGTTCAGTTGTAGAGAGGGCTTGGGTTGCAAGTCTGCCAGGTCGTAACTTTGAACAGTCGCTAAGCAACCAGCCATAACTCGAGAACTACTAGTTGTATTAGCTAGTCCATTTTTTTTCTTTGCCATCAGTCATCTTTCTGTTTACTTTATTTTTAATGAAAAGACTCTAAAAAAAATTAAAATAAACTCAACAGGGCCATAAATGCTCCACAGGAGATGTTCCTGCTCACAATGGATCCGTGGGCTGAAGATCCAAGCAAGCCACATGCTGCACCTCCAATATGTACCCTGGTTCCTTGAAATAAGAGCTATCCAGAAAATAAGCCCTAGCATGCATTTTATGTTTGGGCCAGTGGTGAAATGTAAATTTTTTTACTACCGGATCTGTGGGCGTGGCTTGGTGGAGGGGAGGGGTAATGTGACTGGGTGGGCATGGCCAACTTTTTTTTTTTTTACTTTTAAAACCATTTTTTCTACAACCTCTTCGGCCGAAGAGGTTGTAAAAAAAATGCTTTTAAAAGGCTCTGATGATCAGGCAACTCAGCTGGGATCGTCAGAGCCTTTTTTTCCTTTTAAAAACATTTTTTCTATAACCACTTCGGCCGAAGAGGTTGTTTAAAAAAATGCTTTTAAAAGGCTCTGACGATCCCAGCTGAGCCGCGCAATCATCAGAGGCTTTTTTTTACTTTTAAAAGCATTTATTTCAGCCAAAGAGGTGTAGAAAAAAATGCTTTAAAAAAAAAAGCATCTGATGATTGTGTGGCTCAGCTGGGCATGGCGGGGGGGCAGAGATTTTTGCTACCAGTTCTCTGAACCACCCGCCGCCATTGCTACCGGATCGGGCGATCCAGTCCGAACCAGGAGCATTTCACCCCTGGTTTGTGCCTATTATAAGCCCTACCCCCAAAATAAGCCCAATTTAAAAGCCTGCGCAGCCGCGCAGCCGCCCATTCTCTCTGGTTACTTGTGGTGCCATGGCCATGAGGTGAGGCGTGGTGGTGGTGGAGCTACTCCATGCATCCCGCACCGGCTTACCTCAAGACCCGACAGCCAGGTTATCCACACCCCAACACCTGCCTTGCGGCAGCAGCACCAACAACTATGTGCAGCAGGAGCCCACATGGCCCCCGGCCCACTTCTGCTTGCTCATGGCCGCAATGGAGCAGGAGGCCGAGTGGTGTGATGGTGTTGTGGCTGCGAGGCAAGGCAGGTGTCAGGGCGTGGATGGTGTGGCTGCGGGGGCCCTGAGGTAAGCCAATGCAGGGCGCGTGGGGTAGCTCTGCCCGCCTCACCTCGTGGTCACGGCACCAGTGCATTGCTCCCGCTCCTGCTCCATTGTGGCTGTAAGTAAGCAGAGGTGGGCTGGCAGCCATACAGGGTCCTGCTGGTTCCATGGCCACAAGGTGAGGCAGGTGTCAGGACATGGGTGGCCTGGCTGCGGGGGCCCTCAGGTAAGATGGTGCGTGGCAGCTCCATCCTCCTCTGGCTCGCAGCGGTGATGCTGGTACACCGCAAGCAAGCAGAAGTGGACCTCACGTACACAGGGAAAAAATAAGACATCCCCTGAAAATAAGCCTTATTTTGGGACCCAAAAGAAAATAAGACCCAGTCTTATTTTCGGAAAAACATGGGTACTTATGTCAAATATTGGGGTGCAAATCCAAACACATGTTTTTGCGTGATGAGGGTTGGCAGCAGGTGCACATGAACCCCAGTTTAAATTATTTGGTTAAAACTCAACTTCTATTTTCCAAGCTTCCCTAAACTAAGGTATCCTCCATTTATGCACACTTCAGCCCCCCTAATTCTCAATATGGCCATGGATGTTGGCTGTGGGATTCTGGGAGTTGAAGTCCATGCATGGTAGTTGTGGAATTCTGGGAGTCGAACTCTATGCATGGTGGCTGGGGAATTCTGGGAGTTGCAGTCCATACATCTTAAAGTTTGCTGAGATTGAGAAACACTGCCCTAGTGAATAAAAGTTCTAATGAAAAATTACTGGCACAAATCATACTCATAAGAAGTTATTGCTCATATTTTACCAATTAATTGAAATCCTCCCAAAAAATATTTAGGATAGGAAGAGGATAAGCAGTTTCTCTTTCATGCCTCAGTACAGTTTTTTTCCTTTTTAGGGGTTATGTTACGCCTGTGCATTTACTCAAGAGTAAACCTCACTCTGGAATGTAGGATTGAGACCTTCTCCAAATTCTCTAAATTTTAAGCTACAAAAATCTTTGGCCAGAGGTAAGATCTGACTGCGGCATAATTCTTTGCCTATTATGGGCTGCATTCTTTTAAAAGGACGACGGGGGAAAATAAAAACATTAGAAATGAGAAAAATCTCATCACCGAAGCCTTCCTTCTTCCAAAGTTTCGCTCACAATGTGGTTAGATTAATGTGCATTAAGCTCATATTCTATGCTGGTTGTTTGGCTGCTATGTTTCTAGAAAAACAGGATTAAAGCATAGAGAGCCAGTTTGGCCTAGTGCAGTGATGGCTAACCTTTTCGTTGCTGTGTGCCGAAAGCATGCGCACACCCATAATGCAATATGCGCCTCCATGTGCCCCGCCCCGCGCTTGTGCATATGACCCCCATGCATGACCCGTCCCCCGCGCATGTAGGCATGCTCTCTATGTGTGTGCCCCACCCGTGCATGGGTGTGTGTCTCCCGTATGCGCCCCGCCCCTCGCACATGCGCAGCAGAGACCCAAAAACCAGCTGGCCAGTGCGAGGCGCGCGCGCATGTGTGGTGCAGCTGAGCTGGGGTGACGGCTCACATTTCGGCAGAGAGGACTCTGCGTGCCATCTGTGGCACGTGTGCCATAGGTTCGCCATCATGGGCCTAGTGGTTAAGGCATCAGGCTAGAAAGCAGGAGACTGTGAGTTCAAGTCCCATCTTAGCCATGACAGGCAACTGGGTAACTTTCAGTCAATCTCTCTCAGTCCAATTCATCTCATAAAGCGTTATTATTGTGAAGAAAATAGAAAGAGGAAGGTGTGTTAAATATGTTCACACCTTGAGTTATTTGTAAAATAATACAAGCTGGATATATATAAATATATATACATAAATAAAATAAAATGTTAAAATTAAGACGGGTTGCTAGAGACGACCTAGTCCACCCCACCCCCTAACTTAGTGCTTTTACAAGTTTCCCTGGAAAATTTCTGCTTAAATGCTACCAGTGCAGGGGACAACCCCCCCCACACATCTTCTTAAGCCTTATCTTCCATATCTCCAATATTCTATTGATTACTATTAAAAGTGTATCAGATGATTGAGATGAAATTAAACTACCCTGCCATTTCCAAATCTATTGATACCACTTCTGCCTTCCAAAGTCGTGTTTGTTAAAAAAAAATTCCTCTCAGAACTCCTTTCCACTTTTAAAAATTATGGAGGACTCCCCAAAAGAACCTCTGTTGGCACAGGTTTAATTGATCAATATTTACTGTATAAAAAATTAAAATGATGCATTCGCTGCCACTATTGCTTTTCACGGCTGTTAGTTGGGATTTTAATTTTGTACCATGTTTCCCCGAAAATAAGACCCTGTCTTATATTTTTTTGAACCCCGAAATAAGAGCTTGGCCTTATTTTCAGGGAGATCTTATTATTTTATTTATTGATTTATTTATTTTATTCAATTTGTATACCGCCCTTCTCCTAGTGGACTCAGGGCGGTGCACAGCCAAAACTAAAACACATACCAATACAAAATTTAAAATTATTAAAAGAATTACATACTTTGGCCCAAATTTAAAACAATTCAAATTAAAACCCATTTTGGGGTGTGTCGAGCAAGATGGAGCTCCTCTTGCCATTTTACCTGACTTCCAGCTCTGTGTTTAAATATTTTTGGGGAGGGCTTATTTTTGGGGGGGAGGCTTATTTCAGCGCATGTGCTCAAAAGCCCGATTGTGCTTATTATCAGGGGATGTCTTATTTTCGGGGAAACAGGGTATTATTTTTTAAGATAGACTGACAAATATTTTTGATTTCATGGACTCCTGAGAGGGTTTTGTGGGAACTCCAGGGGTCTTAGGACCACACGTTAAGAAATGTTTCTCTAAAGCTGTGTGTCTGAAATCTTGACAACTTTAATATGGGTGGATTTCAACTCCCAGAATTCCCCAGCCAGTAGCTGGTTGGGGAATTCTGGGAGGTGAAATCCACCCATATTAAAGTTGCCAGTATTAAAAAAAAAAAACCCACTGTTCTAAAGCATCACAGAATAAATATGGTCTGACCTCTGTCCAATGGCTTTTTCAATATTGGAAGATGGCTATTTATGTCTACAACGCTGGAACACGATCCAGCCAAGATTAAGTGGTTTATGTGTCCCGATCTGGCTAAAATTAGTCTTGGTTACGCATGGTTGGAAGCAGCGCAGTTTAAGCGAGACAGTCTGAGGAAGGAAAGCACAGGCCTATCACTAAATGTGGGTTGATTGATATCATAGATAAATTGAATATCCACATTCAGAAATGGCCTCAAAATTAAATCACTGAAATAGACTGCAAAATACCCAAAAACTTTCTCCTTCAAGCAGTTTGGCAGCTGCTAGCCCGAGATTGTATTTTAAACTATTTTATTAAAACTCCTTTTAAAGTGATGATGAAAACTCTGCTTAGACGAAGTTTGCCTCCTGTAACCAGTGCCAGCTGTTTTGGGGGGCATTTAGGCTGCCCAATATAGTTAGTCCTTGACTTACAACCATTTCTTTAGTGACCATTCAAAGTTACACTGAAAAAAATGACTTTTTTTCATTTTTCACATGACCGTTGCAGCTTCCCCATGGTCATATGATCAAAATTCAGGTGCTTAGCAACTGGTTCATATTTATGACGGTTGCAGTGTCCCAGGCTCACGTAATCAGCTTTTGCAAACTTCTAACGGTGCAAAATCAATGGGGAAACCTGATTCACTTAATAACAATGTTACTAGCTTAACGACTGCCATGATTCACTTCACAACTACGGCAAGAAAGGTCGTAAAATAGGGCAAAGCTCACTGAACAACTGTCTTGCTTAGCAGTGGAAATGTGCGTGGTCGTAAGTCGAGGACTACCTATATCAGAAATAGAAAAGCTGAATTGTTGTAAATAATATGGCCTGTGTGATGGACAGGTGTTCTTTGACTTATGGGAGCAGTTGAGCCTAGCATTTATAGTCACAAATCGTGACAGTCATAAAGCAGGTCACCATATGACTGGACCCATTTCTACTACTACCTTTTTTTACAGAGGTCATTAAGTGAATATGGCGGTCGCTAAGCAAACACAGTGCTTGTTAAGTTTGTTTACTGTGTTCGCTTAATGACCACTGCATTCACAACCCATTGTTCTCTACGGGTATTTTTTGCAGAAATGCCAGTTTCTGGCAAAAAACATTGTAAATCCAGAGAGTCAGTTAGATCTAGTGATTAAGGCACCAGGCTTAAAAGTGGGAGGCCGTGAGTTCAAGTCATGAAACCCAGCTGGGTGACTTTGGGCCAGTCCCTCTACCTCAGCCCAACCTGTCAGGTGGGTTGAATTCATCTCACAGGTTATTGTTGTGGGGAAAATGGAAGGAGGAAAGTATGTTGGATATGTTTGCCACCTTGAGTTTTTTGCAAAAATAATAAAAGCAGGATACAAATAAATAAAAGTAAATATTAAAGCGCAGTTAGGTGACTGCAGGACACTGGAAATGGCTGTCAATGCGGTTGGTTGCCAAGGGTCCAAAATGAGTCTTGAGGTGGGGGTGGAGTACCTGCTGGGTAATTAGTACCTGCTCTGTGGTGAATTATAGCTTTGAAGAATCACTAAGCAACCGGTCATAAGTCAAGAACTACCTGTAAAATGATTATGAAAATTACATACTTAGAAACAGCTTCTAAATTTCTAGAATTTCACTTCCTTGCCGTGGAGCAAACAAGATTGGACTAAAATTATATTGGCGTTCGGTGTCTCAGCGGAACGATTTTTCCAAAAAGGAGACGCCAAGCCCGTTAGTGGCTTTGTTTGCTAATCTCAAGGCAGAGGTATTGCAAACCACCCCATCCCTTTTAAGGCACTTCAAGAGCTTTTAGCAGGTTTGTTGACTTCACCTGCTTCTTTTGCTGAAGTTCTAAGTGGTTTTTCCTCAATTGTTGCAACAGGTTGGGCTAAGCTTTGCCATTAGCTTAGGCGGGTGGGGCTTGGAGACCGGCCCAGAAAGCAACAGCCTGCTTGGGCAAAGCAAATATCTGGGGAGGTTATGA